AATGGGAACAAGAATGAAACCTATTTTCTTCACACAGTATCCTGCTATATTTGTATGAGAAAGTGGAATCCAAATCAGGAACCACACAAAGTTTAAGAATTATGACTAAAAATAATTAAGTAGCACTGTCACCATTTTCATTCCACAGAATAGCTGCTCACAGATTTTTATGCTAAATAGACCACATATAGAGACTTGAAGTACCATTCCTTAGGAATGACTTGTGAACTTGGCAAATTATAGAAGAGAGCATTATACAGTAATATTCATCACTTCATCTGGCTTATATTTCTAGAGATCCCAATGAACTCTTCACTTCCTGTAGAATTCTGTGGAGATCACCACCACATGGCCTTGTTACTACACAATTATTGTGTGTTTCCTTTTCCTGTGGAAGTTGTAGTGTTATTTAGCAGCCCTGGAACGTATCACAATGAAGCAAGTACAATCATGGGGTTTTTTTTATTATTATTACTCAGAACAACACAGTGAAGTTGGCTGCTGTAATAGCCCTATTTTTCAGCTATACAAACTCTGTCAAGCTTTGCTCTAAGCACATATAGGCAAAGTGAGCACATAACTAAAACTTGATCACAAAAGCTACGATCAAGTTTTCTTCTTTTTATATTCTTGCTCCTCTTTTCTAATAATATAAAATATTTAAAAATAAAGACCATTACTGTAAAAGATTTTATGGCAAAACTCACCTGCTCTTTTTATGCTCTTTGTCTTGCTATCTCATCAAATTCTACTATCAACTATTCCCTCTCTAAAGATGACTCCCAAATCTATATCTCTAGCCCCAACTTCTTGGAGGAGCTCCAGATCAGCATTCTCAAGTATTTCTTAGATCTCTCTAACTTAGTGTATTGGTACTTTAAACCTAATGCAAAGTAAACAGACAACCTTCCCCTTCCACCTCCCAATTGTTCCTTTTCCTGACTTCCCTGTATCTGTCAATCTTCATCACCAATTTCTCTGATTTGCCTTGAAACCTCAGAGTCATCTTTGACTCTTCCTTTATCTCCCCTCTGACATACACTCAGTTGCTATGTCTTGCTTACTACTTCTAAAGTATTACTTATTTTTTGAGTTTTTATTCTCCCCATTGACATCACTATGATTCTATCTCATCTGGACTACTACAATAACTTCCTAACCAATCTCTCTGTCTTTATTTTTCTTCCCCACTCTCATATCTGCACCCCATTGCCAAATTCATCTTTCCACAAAATAGCTCCATTCATAAATCATTCAAACAACAAGGATTTATTAAGTACCTGCCTACTGTGTGCTAGACACTATGCTAGATACTGGGGATACAAATACAAAGAACAGAAAATTCCCATTCACAAGGAGCTTGCCTTCTCATAGGAGAGACAAGTATACTTATATGTACATATAGAAAAAACAAAATATATAATATATAAATACATATATGTGTGTTTGTACATAGACACACATGTATACAGAGTAATTAAATACAAAGTAATGTGGGAGGAGAGCATTAGGAGTTAGGGAGATCCAGAAAGGCTTCTTTTAGAGGATGGTGCTTAAACTGAGTCTTCAAGGAAGAAAGGTACTCTGAAGTGTAGCCAAGGAGGGAAGACAGTCTGGGCATGTTGGTGTGGCCAATGTAGAGGCACAGAGATAGGACTTTAACTCAAATTTGGCTGGACAATAGAGTGCAGGAAGGGTACAATGTTATAATAAAGTTGGAAACACAGATTGGAGCCCAGTTGCATAGGGAATTAAACAGTAAGAGAGGAGAGTTTATTTGATTCCAGAAGCAATAGGAAGTGACTGGAATTTATTGAATATGGGAAGTCATGTGGTCAGATTGGTGCTTAAGGAAAATTACTCTGTCAGAATGTATAGTAAGGACTGGAGTAGTAAGAGACTTGAAGCAGGGAGACTAATTGGGAGGCTGTTGCATTGATCTAAGCTAGAAGTGGTGATGGCTGTGACTTAAGGGTTTAGTCGTGTGAATGGAGAGAAGAGGCCATGTGTGATAGAGGTAGAAACAGCAAGATATGGTAACTGATTGGATATGTGGGATGAGGGAGAGTGACGACAAGCAATTCTTGTCCTCATTTTGTTCAGAAATCCTTAGTTTTATCCAGCTTTCATATTACCTACCAAATCAAGCCTATTTCCCATTATTCTCTTTCACACATCCCATATTCTAGCTGAACTGGATTATTTGCTAGTCAACCTGAGTATCCCTAGCTACATGCTTTTGCTCACATTTTCCCGTCTGCCTGAAATACATATTCTTCTAGTTGTATCTTTCCAAATCCCTGTCCTTTAAGACACAGTGCAAATACTATCTCCAAGAAATCTGCCTTGGAGTCTGACAGTAATCATTTCCTCCTCTGAACTGCCTACTGTACTATGTGAACTCTGACCTAACTACCATTCCATATGATATCTCTCTTAGTGCTTGCACTTATTTGTATCTATGCCATCTTTATGGGGCCAGAGATACCCTATAACAATTAGCTTAGGAAAGAATCATGGTATAGAGGAAAGAACGTGAAACTTGACATCAGAAAATGATGCAGATAAAAACTCACATTCATATAACATTTTCAGGTTTGCAAAACACTGTACATTTGATTCTCACAAAAACCCTATGAGATATGTGCTATTATTATGTTAGTTTTATGTTTATTTTCATTTAGTTCAAAAGGTTAAGTGATAAGCCTAGGGACCTACAGATAGTATTAGAATTAGGATTTGAACCCTGATCTTCATAACTCCGGGTTCACAGGCTCTGCAATTTACTAACTGCATGACCTTGGCAGGTTGTTTGATTTTTCTGATCCTTTGCTTCTTCATCTGTAAAATGGGGATAAGAATATGTTCTTGATCTATCACACAGGTTTGCTTTGAGAATCAGATGAGATAATGCAAATGAAAATACTTTGCAATGGCAAAGCATTATATAAATGCAAGCCATCATCAATGAATGAACTGTTTTAACACAGCCTTATTCCTGTCTGTTTTGATCTGTCCTAATTATTGGACATTAGAGCCACATAAATACACGTAAGTATCATTTGGCAGTTCTCAATTTCTTTCACATACATGTGTACACACACATAAATACATACACATATATTATTGAAATACTCTAAGGTTAATGTGTGCTGAAACAAACTATTTCCCAAGTTAAAATCAATCTTTACAAGACCGCCTGGCATTGGAAGTGAGATTCTCATCTTTTTATTGTAATGTTGATAGGTGAACGATAATATAATATATATTTTTGACACATATAATATTTCATTCAAATCTTCAACTTCTTTAGGATGATCAGTACAGACACTTCTGACAAATAGGATAGATCTAAGTATCTCTCTAACTCTTTTCACCCTCTGTTGCTCAACTTTTCCTTCTATTTTTTTGTCCCTAAAACTTCTTAGTGTTTTTGGCTTTTGAAAAGCAAGAGTTGCAAATCCATGCTTATGCAACAGTACACATGTTTAAAATTACTTTAAAGTGCTCCATTGACTATGCCCAAAAGGCAATAAAACTGTGCAAACTCTTTGATCCAGCAATTCCACTGCTAGGTTTCGATCCCAAAGGCATCCAAAAGAGGGGGTGGGGGGGGAGACCTAATTGTACAAAAATATTATAGCAGTTCTTTTTGTAGTGGCTAAGAATTGGAAATCAAAAGGATGTCCATCAACGGGGGAATGGTTAAACAAGCTGTGGTATATTATTATAATGGAATGTTACTGCGCTATAAGAAATGACAAACAGGATGATTTTAGAAAAACCTGAAAAGACTTACATGAACTGACGCATAGTGAAGCAAACGGAACCAGGAGAACGATGTACACAGCTACAACAATATCGTTCATTGAGGAACTGTGAATGACTTAGCTATTCTCAGCAATACGATGATCTGAGACAGTTCCAAAGGACTCAGGATTAAGCAAACTATCTGCCTCCAGAGAAAGAACTGATATTGATTGAATACAGATTGAAGCATATTATTTATCATTTTCTTTGTCTTATTTTTTTCTTTTATTTGAATCTTCTTGTACAAAATGACTAATATGGAAATGTTTTACATAATTGCACATGTATAACCTATATCTGATTGCTTACCATCTTAGGAAGTGGGGAGGGAGGGATAGAATATGGAACTCAAGACTTTAAATAAAAGAAAAAACTTTTTGCAGTGCTTCATTAGAACACATGAACATATTCAAGATTAAGAGGTGAAGTGAACACTTTTGAAACTATACTTGATTGTTCTATGCAAGGAACTTTGATACTTACTCTTTCTTAAGACTATTGGCTTGCCCACCCATCCATCACCTTGGCTATACACTGGAAAGTTAGCTTCTTTCACTAATGCCTTAAATTAGCCATGCTTGATTTTGATGTATTGAATGAGTTGTATATTTGACTCATTCCATAGACAATTTAGGAGCATATCAGGTGTCTATACGTTTTGTCCATGTGGACATGTTGGTTCAGCATTACAGCTTTTCTGCGTTTCTTTGAGTAATTTGGAAGATCCAAAGGTATTGAGACATGACCCAAATTGGAGAGTGAGTTCTTACGCATACTGAATTTGAGGATTTATTTTGATTATACATTTTTTGACTTCCAGATAGTTGACACGTCACATCAGTCCAGCGAATTCTATTTGGCATAATTCTTGCAAAAGGTTTGGAGTGAGAGAGATCAACTTTTGACTATACATACAAATATAGACATGTATGTATGTGCATATATGCATATGTTCCCCTCTTAAAAGCACTATATTTATAATTTATTTGCATATAAAATGATTCAGACTTTCTTTTTTCCCCATTCTCCCATTTTAAATTGCAAATATTTACTCCTAAATAGCAATTGAAAAGAAGTTATCTTTTCTAACTCTATTTACAATTCAGAGCTTGGGTACCAATATCAGTAAATTTCAAATTGAACTTGGAAATCACTAGAAGTAATTTTTTCCCTTCCCTTTACAATTGCAGCATTTGATGTGTGCAGGGCTGTGGTGTCTTGTGGAAGGGGATACATCTTGCAAAACTAAGCTGGACCCTCCTCTGGATGGCACTGAGTGTGGGGCAGATAAGGTAATTGCTTAATCCAAGCAGCTGTCTTTTAAGTCATCTGTTGGACTGCATTCTTCTACAGCAATTCACAATCATCAGAATCCTAATTTGAGGATTGGTTTTTGTTCTGATAAAGCCCCATGAGCATCTCAGAGGGAAACTGTAGAAGAGCCCTCATTGACCTTTTTCAAAACTGGTTTCAGTTTCTTTACCATTCCCCATGACACTTGTCTGCAATTCTCTTTAAAAAAAAAGAGAGAGAGAGAGAAGAAAAATGACATTTTTGCTTTATAATATGGTTTGACAGAAGAAGAATGATTTACCATTCCTTAGGACTGTTGGACTTAACTTACTGGTGGAGATATCTAAAGCTAGAATCCATTCAACAAGTTTTTATTAAGCACCTACTATAGGCAAGACAGAGGCAGCTAGATGGTACAGTGGATAGAGCACTGGGCCTGGAGTTAGGCAGACCTGAGTTCAAATGTGGCTTCAGACACTTACTAGATTTGTGACCCTGGGCGAGTCACTTAACTTCTGTTTGACTTCATCCGTTGGAGAAGGAAATGGCAAACCGTTCTAGTATCTTTGCAAAGAAAACACCACAGAGAATATTGACATACCACGGTCCACAGGATCACAAAGAGTCAGGCATGACTGCACAATCAACAGCAGCAATGTTGGCAAGGCAGTATGACGGCCTAATTTCTTTCATTTGGTGGTGACTTCTCTACCTCCCCCTCATCCCCAGCTTCCCTGCCTAGTTACACACTCAAAAGACTAGAGAGCTTTATTTTAAAGAACCCTGCCCGTCACTTCATAATTAGAATTATTCTATAAATGACCATTTTATAGCCTTCATAAAGTGAAAGATACCAGAGCTGTCCCATCCCCACTCCCATATGGACAAACACAACTTATCCAAAGATGTTTTTCCCTTCTCCTTGTCCCATATTGTAACCTGAATGGTACTTCTCCGAGGTCACCTTACTCAGTGAACATACATTCACCCTGCTTCGTTTCAGTGGTGCCGAGCTGGGGAGTGTGTCAGTAAAACTCCTATCCCAGAGCATGTGGATGGAGACTGGAGTACATGGAGCCCTTGGAGCATGTGCAGTAGGACATGTGGGACTGGAGCCCGCTTCAGACAAAGGAAATGCGACAATCCCCCGTGAGTACCTTCTTGCCCTATGACATTTTTATTTTATTCCCTTATTAATTATTTACTGAAGTTCTAGTACTAGGTATTGAGCTAGGTAAATGCCTTCTTAGAGTTTATTTGAAGAAATAAACTATTAAGTTCAATTTAACTAGCATTTACTAAGTTCCTACTATATTCCAGGCCCTAGGCTGGGTGTTGAAGATAAAATCAAAGCATCCTCTATTCTCAAAGAGCTTACATTCTCCTGACCACATACAAAAATATCTACAAGGTGAAGTGCCAGAAGAGAACAATCAGCTAGGTGGGGCAGTGAATGGAGTGCTTGGTTCAGAGTCAGGAAGGCCTAACTAGTCACTCACTGACTAGCTCTGTGATCCCAGGAAAGTCACATCCACCTCTCTGGGTCAGTTTTCTTTGTAAAATGAGAAGGGTTGGGCTGTAAAAGCCTTGAAGATATCTTCCCCCTCTACATCTATGATACAATTACCCATGATCATTTACCATGTAGTAGTGTGATCATTCATCATGATTTCTGTTCATCCCTTTCTTAAGCACTACTAGGTTTAAGGCACTCTGATAGGACCTAGGGACGAAAAGATAAAGTGAAAAATGAGAAAGCTAAAAATGGCATAGCCTCCTGTCCAAAGCAGCACATATTCTAAAGTAGCAGCTACTTCTTACCACAAGGGGCAACAAGGAGAAGAACTTGTATGTTCAAGGTGTGCTTTGGCCAGGCATCAGTTCCTCTGGGGTTCAGTTATCCTCACCAGTCAGGTGACTCCCAGATCTACATATCTAGTCCTAATCTAATGGGTTCAGTTATCATTTCTATGCAGATGACTCTAATACCTGAATTCTTGCCCCAACCATACATACTCCTGAACTCTAGTCCCACATTTTTAGCTGCCTGCTAGCAAACAGACATTCACCATTTTCCTCTCAAATCTTTTCCTCCACTACACAGCCTTTCTTTTGAGGACACATATCATTTCAATCATCCAGATTTGCAAAATCTATCTTTTTTAACTCTTCTCATATCCTTTAGGTCCTTCACCCTGACCCCATTCCAACCAGACCTCAATCAATAAGTGAACAGGCTTTTATTAAGTCTTTACTATGTGCCAGACTCTTCAGGCACCATGGTGATACAAAGAAAAAGCAAAACCAGTTTCTGCCTTCAAGGAACTCTCATTCTAAGAGGGGAAACAACATATATAAATCAAACCATATAGGATAAAAGCAGAATAGATAGAAAGTAAGCTTTGAGGGAGGACACTAGCAACTGAGCAGGGGATGGAGAGGGTGAAAGGCCTCCTGGAGAAGGTAACACTTGAGCTGAGTCTTAAAGGAAGTTAGGGATTCTAAGGGACATCTAGGTGGTGCAGTGGATAGAGCACCAGGCCTGGAGTGAGGAAGGCCTGAATTCAAATCCGGCCTCAGACACTTACTAGTTATGTGACTCTGAGCAAGTCACTTAACACTGTTTTTCTCATCTGTAAAATAAGCTGGAGAAGGAAATGGCAAATCAATCCAGTATCTTTGCCAAGAAAACCCCAAATGGGGTCATGAAGAGTTGGACACGATTGAAACCACTGAACAACAACAACAAAGGGATTCTATGAGTCAGAGGTTAGGAGGAAAGGCATTCCAGAATAGTCAATACAAAGGCATAGAGTCAGAAGATCGAGTGTCATGTTGAAAAACAGGAAGCAGGCTAGTATGGCTGGATTATAGAATCCTTAGAGAAGAGGAGGATGTAAATAAAATTGGAAATGAAGGAAGGTAAAGGCCAAACAAAGGCTTTATGGTTGATTTTAGAGCTAGTTAAGAGTCATTGGAATTTATTGAGCAGGAGAGATGATATGACCAGACCCATGCTTTGGGAAAATCTCTTTGGCAGTTGGGCAGAGGATGGATCAGAGTGGAAAGATGCTTTTGGCAAGGAGACCAACCAGAAACCTACTGCAACATTCCAGGCAAGAGGTGATGAGGGCCTGATTAGGCTGGTAACTGTGTGAGTGGAGAAAGGGGACATATGTGAGAGATGTTGTATAAAAGAAATTATGATATTTGTCATCTGATTGCTAGATGTGGTCTTGTATTTTCTATCTCTTCTGTCCCTCTCTTGGCTGTCCTTTTCTATCCACTTACATAAGCCTACCCACCACCCTCATTTAAGTCATTACCATCTCTCACTTGAACTGTCATAATAGCCTTCTCCTTGGCCCTTCAGTCTTTGTTCTTTCTTATCTTCCTTCCATCTTCTACTCAGCAGTCAAGGTGGTATTATTCCTAAAGCCTGGATCTAAGCATTTTATTTCCTTAATTAGAAAACTTCAGTAAGTGCTCTATTGCCTCCAGGAGAAACAAAAAACTCTGTGTAGCCTTTAAAGACGGGCACAGTGTGGCTCCCAGTTTCCTTTCCAGGCATCTCACTCCCCTTTATGCTTTCTCCATTCTGGTTGAACTGGCCTACTACTTACCATCAGGCGATGTACATGACAGCCGATCTCCCTGCTCTTGCACAGATTTTTCCCCATACTTGTAATGTCCTGCCCTTCACCTCTCCTGGCTCTGAGTAACTCTAGTCTCTGTCCAAGCCTAGCTCAGGTGCCATCTTCTCCCTGAGATCTTTCCTGAATCATCCCTCCTCCCTGCCCCAAGTGGTTAGCGTTCTCTTCTCGAAACTACTCAACTATTTTTAAAATTAATTTATTTTTAGTTTTTAACAACCACCTCCATAAGCTGCTGAACACTAAATCTTTTCTCCCTCCATCTTTGCTTCCCTCCCCAAGATGGCGCGCAATCTACACACACATTCCTATTAAACATATTTTCACATTAGTCATGTCGTAAAGAGGAATTAGAACCAATAGGAGGAACCACAAGAAAGAAGAAACAAAACAAAACAGAAGAAAAAAATAGCAAATAGTATGCTTTGATCTTCATTCAAACTCTATAGTTCTTTCTTTGGATGCAGATAGCATTTTCCCTCATGAGACTTTTGGAAATGTCTTAGATCCTTGCATTGCTTGGAAGGACTAAGTCTATCAAAGTTAGTCATTGCACAACGTGGCTATTACTGTGTACAATGTTCTCCTGGTTCTGCTCACTTCACTCAGCATCAGTTCATACAAGTCTTTCCAGGTTTTCTGAAGTCTACCTGCTCATCATTTCTTATAGCACAATAGTATTCCATTATATTCATATACCACAACTTGTTTAGGGCATCCTTGATGGGCATCCCCTCAATTTTCAGTTCTTTGCCACCACAAAAAGAGCTGCTATAAATATTTTTGTACATGTGGGTCCTTTTCCCATTTTATGATGTCTTTGGGATGCAGCCCTAGAAGTGCTACTGTAGAATCAAAGAGCATGCATACCTTTATAGCCCCTTGGGCATAGCTCCAAACCGCTCTCCAAAATGGTTGGATGAGTTCACAACTCCACCAACAATTCACTAGTGTTCCAACTTTCCCATATCTTCTCCAACTTTTATCATTTTCCTGTTTTGTCCTGCTAGCCAATCTGGATAGGTGTGATGTAGCACCTCAGAGCCATTCTGATTTGCATCTCTCTAATCAATAGTGATTTAGAGCATCTTTTCACATGGCTATAGATAGCTTTAATTTCTTCATCTGAAAACTGCCTGTTCATATCCTTCAACCATTCATCAATTGGGGAATGACTTACACTCTAAATTTGACTTGGTTCTCCATACACTTTAGAAATGATGCCCTCATCAGAGACACTGGCTGCAAAAATTCTCTCCCACCTCTCTGCTTCCAACAACCATTTTTTAACTGCTTACTATGTCCTAGGCACTGTGCAAATGAAAAAGCAAAAAACAGCCCCTGCTTTTTTTTTGTTTATCACTAACATATTTCAATTGAGGTGAATTGATTCAACCTGTTTCTTTTTCTGCAAAATACAGATAATAATACTTGCATCACCTACTTCACAGAATCAGGAAAAATTAGCTGTGATAATATATGTACCATGTCACTATAAAGTGCGATAGCCATGGAAGCTAACATTATTGTAAGTTTACTTCTGTAGCAGTTACATCTCTAATGTGCCTTACTATTCACAAAAATATGGTTTTGTCTCATAAGCTAAAATGTGAGATGCAACATGGTATACTGGCAAGGAAATTATAATAATTTACTGTTGGGATAGAAATCTGCTTTTCATAATGACAGAGATGTAGAATTAATGTCATTAATTCAGAAAATATTCACTGAATGAAGGAATGATATCTAAAAAATAAAATTAAGAAGTGAGAGAGGAATGTATTGGGATAAAGAGAAAGGAGGAGGTAGAATGGGGTAAATTATCTCACATAAAAGGCAAGAAAAAGCTTTTTACAGTGGAGGGGAAAAGGAGGGAGGTGAGAGGCAATGTGTGAACCTTATTCTCATCAGAATTGGCATAAAGAGGGAATAACATACACACTCAATTGGGTATAGAAATCTATCTTACCCTACAGGAAAGTAGGGGGAAGGGGATAAGCCAAGGGGGGTGATAGAAGGAAGGGCAGATTGGGGGAGGGGGTAATCAGAAGCAAATACTTTTGAGGAGGGACAAGGTGAAAGGAGAGAATAGAATAAGTGTGGGGTGGGATAGGATGGAAGAAAATATAGTTAGTCTTTCACAACATGACTATTATATAAGTGTTTTGCATGACTACAAATGTATAACCTATATCAAATTGTTTGCCTTCTCAATGAGGGTGGGTGGGGAACTCGAAGTTTAAAAAATGAATGTTAAAAATTGTTTTTTATGTGTAACTGGGGAAAAAATAAAATACCAAAGAAAAAAAGAAAATATTCACTGAACACTTATATGTTATATAGGGACTATGTTATAGTCACTGTGTAGGTTAAAAAAAAAGCATAAGGCATGATCTTTGGGCCCCAGCTTATAATTTCTAGTTGGGGAAGTAAGATATAAATAGATAGATAGATAGGTAGATAGATAGATAGATAGATAGATGGGTATCTCATGTA